AACAAAGATATTAAGCTCTTAGAGAGTGTCTGAAGGAGGGCAATGAAGATGGTGAAGGGCCTTGAGGGGAAGCCGTGTGAGGAGCAGTTGAGGGCACTTGTGTTCAGCCTGGAGGAGACTGAGGGGAGACCTCATTGCATTTACAACTTCCTTGTGACAGGAAGAGGATGGGCAGCCACCTACTGATCTCTTCTCTGTGGTGACCAGTGACAGGACCCGAGGGAATGACCTGAATTTGTGTCGGGGAGGTTTAGGTTGTGTATTAGCAACAGGTTCTTTACTTGTTTTGGGCACTGGAACAGGCTCCCCAGGGAAGTGGGCACAGCACCAAGCCTGACAGAGTTCAAGAAGAGTTTAGACAAGAGTTTCAGGCACATGGTGTGACTCCTGGGGATGTTCCTGTGCAGGACATGATCCTTATGGGTCCCTTCCAACTCAGCTATTCTGTGATTCTGGAGTGTTTTGGGACACACAGACCCCCAGTGGTTGTGAGCTTGGCCCTGCAGCAGCACAGTTCTAAAGCCTGTAAACACCTGGCTTACGAACAGTTTTCCATTTGTCTGTGTCCCTGTCATTTTGCACCATCTGAACCATACTTCCTTCTGCATTCCTTCTTGTTCAGAGGGTTTCGAAATGGTGTGCTTCAGTCAAGCCTGCCTTTCAATTCTAAGAACTTGAGAGCCGTCTAGTGGAGGCCTCTGCCTCATACCCAAAATTCAGCCCAAACTTCTTCTCACGGTGCATTTCACTCCTTATTGATATCACTCCCGACACTGTCCTTATAGCTGAACACCACATAAGGACTTCAACTGGATTTCATGTTCGTCTTTTTCATGGAAATGTGAATTGCTTTCTAAGATAAAATACTGAAAGTGGTTTAAAAAAAAGCATAAGGCAGAATTGAAATTAAGTGTTTATTTCCCACTATGACAAAAATCTTTTCTAACCTCACAGAGCTCAGCATCAGAATAGTGGCCAGTACTAACGAGGAACTTAATTCTGTAGATACAAGTGTGAACAAAATTTGAAAACACAGAAGTAGACAATGATGCATTCTATGTTATTAATCTAAAACATCAGTCTGATTTCGTAGCATCAAAAGCTATGAAAGTAGGCAACTGTAAACTAAACAAAATTGCAATCACAAAAAAAATCCCTTTCAGATAGTTATCTTTTTCCTCTTGTTTGCCTATAACACATTTCATTAATGACCATGACATGCAAAACTGCAAGGCACACATGCACTGGTGTATCACTGATGCATCAGGCTGAGCAGCAATTATGCAGGTGTGTATCAAATCAGTAGTGTAGAAAGTTCTAAATCAGACTATGACTCTGATGTTCCATTTTCATCTATTATTGCTTTGCATGTAGAGGTTAATTAAAGCTGAAAAGCATAATTAACCCTGTTTTAAGCCAATCTGGAATTCAGGAGTAAAATCTGATGTATATGTATATACATATTACTCGGATCTAAGCAACAGGAGTAGGCATTTCCTAGCTTCTTTTACGGTTGAAATAAAACAGGGCACAGCATTAGAATAGCATCCATTGCTCAGTAGAAGCCAAAGAAGAAAGATGATGGAGCTTGATAGTCAGGGATTGACGCAGTTTTGAGTTGTGGGAGAGGACACGGACCAGCTCAGGGTTCTGCCTAGCCTGTAGACAAGAAGTTAGAAGGGCAATAGGCAGTGGCTGAGAGTTAAGTTCACTGTGATGCAAGTAGCCAGTGAAGAGGCACACACAACAGTAGGGAACACTCAAACAGCCGAGGCTGATCTAACTTTATTAGGACAAAATGGTGGGTTTTATAGGGTCATAGTGAGAAGGGTCTGGAAACAGGGCGGAGATTGGGCGGAGCATGCAAATCTGCTAACAATAATTGGATAAGGGTACATGAATAAACATGAATAGGTGTTAACATGGGAGGAGTTAACTGGGGAAAACACAATTGGTCAGTACCTCACGGTACGCTGACCTATCAGGAACTGTCTCTGTGCCTGTAAGGCAGAAAGTCCATGAGGGGAGACAAAAAGCGAGGGAGTCAACCTACAAGGTTTTAGAACTTTAACAACGCTGCCACAATAAAGTCTTTAAACACTGGTGTTGTTGCTGCTGGTAGTGGTGTCGTCAAGGCTAGTTTTCCACTCACTGAAGCACACTTGTCTTTTCCCTTCATCTCTCCACGCAGTAATGCTGTTTCCATCTCCTCATAAACTTCCTCATCTCCAACAAGGGATGTTCCCAAAGCTCAGAAAGAATTGTCCACATGGTTTTACAGAGCACGTTGGGAATCTATTACAGCCACGGACAGAACCAGCAGTGACACAGTGGGATTTATGTGTTACGGCTTTGATGGTACAACACTCAGTTTCATGATTCCTGTGAGGAACTCAGACATGCCTACAAGAAGCCAGAGTGGGAGTGGAGGCAAGCCAAAGAACTGAGGAAGACCTGGAACAAGAAGCTCTGGCAGTGATGTGGAAGAGTTGGAGATCTGTGACAAATCAGAGAGGCCCATCTCAGGCAAGGCAAGTAAGTTCCTTGAACAGTACTCTTGAGGTCACCATGGCTGAGACCCCTACCTCATGATAGATGAAATTTCTCCATCATGAGTGTGATGGAGAAGTACTTTCTGTGAAAAAGTAAACTTACAGTTTACACACATTCTACTTGACAGTAACATATTTTGCAGGCATCATAAAGATCCACATATTGCTGCAAAGAACCTGATTTATTGTGGCACTGCTCTAGTTTTACCAACTAAAATAACAAAAAGGAGCTGACTTTAAAAAAAAAAACAAAACCCACAACAAGAAAACATACAATCCAATCATATGAGTGAAATAATAGCTTAAAGAAATGTTGCTTTTTACCCAAATCTAGTATTCACTCTGATTTCAACATCACTTTTAAAGCACAGAAAAATCCATTCAGCATCTGAAATCAAAACCACGAACACAGATGAGGAGCTAAAAATGCCTAATTTTCCATTTGGAAATCTCTAACAGCTGTCAAAATAGACAAACTACAAAAGAAAAAAACCCAACAAAGCTCAGTTCTGTACCAGATATAGGCTCTAACATGCCTTCCCAGAATGGTGCATTTGTCATGGAACTGTCATTGCCATTTACCATGAGATCGTGGTTTAATAAGCATGGGAAAGCCTCATTTAAAGAAATCCTTGGAAGCTTCTGGTCTTTCAACTGCTGATAATTCTAAGAAATGATTGAGCAACTTTACAAAATCCAGCTCCATATACCGCATACTTAAGCTTCTTGAGGGTGTTTAGTAGTTCAAGATATTTTGCCTTGTAGATAATTGTCCCAGTCTTAAAATGAAGAAAAGAAATTACAGATATATACCCTGACTTTTAAATATGCTTTCTTCACTGTAAGTTTGAGATATTTTGCTTAGAGTATGTTAGTTGCTTAGGTGTCTGGATTCAAACAGGAATAAGGTTGTCCTGAAACTCATAAAAGGTATTATTCATCTAGTCAAGTCTTCAATTATAAAAAAATTCACACACAATGCTGGAATACCATTTCTAAGGAAAACCTTTCAGTAAGGAGTTCTGCTATGACTGATAATCTGATCTACTCTAACAAAATTCTCCAAAGAGGCTATTGTCTTACTTTATATGGTAATCTAGACTACAGAGTGCAATTAAAAATAATATTAAAAGCCATAAAGTTGCTAATCCATATTACCTTCAGATAGGGCTTGCAGTCACAGCTTAAGCCAAGCATGTTCCTAACTTCACAGGCAAACTGTGATAGATTTTGTTTTACACGGGTATGATTCCTTCCTCCACTAAATGAAGACATTAACTTATCAAATTCTATAGTCTTCCTCTCCTCATCACTACCTTAGATTATTGGGATAGACACACTAACCTCAGAGAACACTGAAGGATTTCAGGTTCACCTAAGAGGTTAGAAAAGGGATCGTTCTTCTGTGTTGTTCTTCCCCAGTGTTGTAGCTGATTATTTTGTGGAAAAGCAGCACATGAGGTCAAGATGTTCCATAGGACATAATCAAGGAAGACTACACACTTCCTATTGTGTCTGTTCTCAGTGTGAGGATCCAAACAGGCAAGCTTTCTGCCCTCCCAGGCAGGAGCTCTGAAGTAATGGGAAATGACACTGGAGCAGAGAATCACGGATGAGCCTCTCTGTGCACCACTGACTTTGCCTGTAAACAAGAACTGGAAAATTGTGTACACCTCTGAGGATAAAACAAAACTGAAATACAAAATACATTTCTGTGAAACTTGCCTGCAAAGCACATGTAACCACCATGCAACAATCAAGCTCATGGAAGTGAAAATCTGCCTACTGTAACGCACTTGCATGAATTCTGTCACAAAACACAGGTTTGCACACAAGGCAGTCAGAAAGAAAAAGAAAGCTCTGTAAATGTGAGGAGAGAAAAAACTCTGGAAAAAGAAAAGTGGGGGGGAGGGAAATTGAAGAGGTGGAGGATTCTGAGAAATGGAGACTTCCAGTTTGGCTTCAGACACAAAGGGAGCATTCTAACCTCCTAACACATGGTTTCCTAGCAAATACGGTGTTAGCATAGCCATGGATATGAATCTATGCCGACTTACACCAAGCATACACTGCACAGTGCTGGTCACACGGGAAAGCAGATGGGAAGAGAGAGGAGGGAAAATAAATTACTTTTATTTGTATTTAATAAAATTTGGCCTACAGGCTTTCTGTGACTCAATACTGAACATCTGGGATTGATCACAGGATCACAAACCGAGAAGCAGTCATCTGGCTTCTAGAAATAAACACTTTCAGTCCCTATTCCACAACGTTATTTTTTTTAATAATAAAATGCAACGGCCTTTTCCATACTTGCAGCCACAGTACTTTTAACTTTTTACTACTTTTTAGTGTTACTTTTTCCACATCGGGGCATCAGACAATGTTAACTTGCATTTGATCTTGGACTGGCAGCATTTGGGATTGTCCTCCACACACACACACAATTAATCACTACTATTCTGCTTCAAAATTTTATGCTACAATGGGAGTCCTGCAAGTCCAGCTTTTGTTAGTTCCCTTCCTCACAAGCTCCCTGGGAGCAGCACAGTACCTGATGCAGGATGCAGCACTGATGAACTACATGGACCGACGTTTCCTCTCTCTGGAGGTATGTGCTACCTGCATCCTTCTGCAACTCTGCCTGACTGCAAGGAGCTTTGAACACACGTGAATGCTCTTCTGTGTGTGTGCACACAGAACAATTTGCATGATATACAATACCAGGATGATACATTTCCAGCTTTTTCAAACAAATAAGTAAAATTGTAGCTAAACCTTGAACTATAATGATTCCTAATTACCATGTCATTTATTGCAGGATATAATTTCATAATGTTATATTTTTATTCTGTTATCACGTGTATGTCTTGTTTTACAACACCAATGAATTTAGCTAAAAATGCAAATGTTTGTATAGTGCTGTCACAGTCCATCCTAGGGAATGGTATAAATATATTGTCAGCAGTAGAAGTGCTGCCAAGTGTTAAAAAGGAGATACAAATTTATCAGGTATTTTTTCTATGTACAGATAAACTACTGTTCCAGGTGGGTTTAAGAGTTTAAGACACATTTATGTAAACTAGAAGTGTATCTTCACTTTAAATAATCCCCTTACAACTGGGAGACTGAAATATGTATTTTCTTTCAATTAACTATATAAATGTATCAGTTCTTGCTTCTTTTTCTGCAGTAAAAATACTACCAGTACTGCAAAATACCTCTTCAGTATTGGTGTGCTATAATCATATATTATTTATCTTAAATCATTAACATGTCCTTGGCTTCTGGCCTGCACTGGCAGACTTTTAGAGAAGCTCTAACTTGCCCCATCTCATGCCCCTTTTTCTACAAAACTCTCACTAGTCTTTACTTCACAACACAGAAACAACTGGATTATCCTGACATTCTGTTCCCATTGAGCAGATTGAGATTTAATTTTTTTTAGCCACTACAGAAATAACTTCACATGGTAATTCCTGTTCCTTTTGGCATCTATTAAAGATTATGCAACTCCACCTGTGGCATTTGGTGCAAGGGGCACCAAACAAAGAACAGGACAAAGGGTGAGGCACACACTTAAAGGCAGCACTTGAAAACATTTATAATAAAGTCCTTGTAGAAAGTCATTAAAGAGCTTCCTGGAGACTTATGGTCATGTATAAATGGGGGAGAGAGGCACAAAGCAAACAAACCACCACCAAGTTTACATGGAACACGTGCAGACTGCACTAATCATTCAGGAAACTCATACATCCCCTAGTCAAACACCACCATAAAACCAAAATACGTGCGTGAAGTACCAAACCAGAACATCCACTCCAGCAGTTAGATCTGCTATGACTGTGTGTTTGGGTTTAGAGATTGGCTCAAATTCCTCATCTTCCTGAAGTGACAGCTGGGCTACTATTTTCAGGACACCTATGATCTTTACAGAAGCAGCTGCATTGCCCCAGAGAAATCACATTCCCCACCACTGAAAACATTATCAATTTGAATGTAAGTGAAAAGAAATATGTTCAGGTTTGGTTTTGGGTTTTAGATATAACCAATTATTTGACACAGAAAAGAACCTCAAGAAAAAAAAAACACAACCCCAAAACAAACAAAAAAACCCAAACAACTGAAACTTCCTCAAATATAGCACACCAGTATTTTCATTTTTCCTTTTAAATGTATGTAAAATAGCCCCACTAGATTCTGCCTTGATTAGAAGAGGCATATTTATGTGAAACGTTTCTGTTGATAGATCTGCAGAAAACTTTGAGACTGCTTCACCAGTGGTCCTACAGGAGGAATTCCAAAGTTTCTGAAAAGCAAGTAATGATAGATTATGTACCATTAAGCACCTCTGGCTGTTTCCACGGGAGCACTTTTCCCTGTTTAAGCAGCAAAACAAAGTATCTGGCTGTCAGTAAACACATTTATGCAAAAAAAGTGGGTTTTTGTCCAGACCTGTGAATGCTTGTGCCCTCTTCACACAGATAGCCAGCAACAGCCACTGGTTTGAAATAAATAGGGGGCAGGACTGGACAGGAGAGAATAGCGTGGATTTTTTTAAAGCAATCATAATGATGTTGTAATGTATACAGAATATCCATGTATATCCATGTGTTTGGTTTTTTTTCCTGTGTTCTAACTTAAGAAGAGCCTGGAAAAATGCAACCAAGACATAGTGGATTATGTGGACGAATTCCGAGACTTTTCAAAGATGGTACTGTCACGCTTGGCAGGACTGAACTCTTATAAGGCTGAAGTTAAAAGTGAAGTACAGAATTTGCTAACAAGAATTGAACGAGCACAAAGGGACATTGACTATTTTGGATCTGTCACAGATTCTAACCTATGTATAGAAGTGCACGAAGACCTGGTGAAACAGCAGTTACTTGAAGAGGCAGAAGAAAAAAAGAAACTTAAACTCATGCTTAATGCAAGTAAGAACAGTTTGCTTTCAGAACTTTGATGTGAATGAGCCAGTCCCCTAACCAATGTGTGAATACTGATAGAGGGATAACTGTCATGGTTTTGCTCTGGGCTAATTTTTCTCTCACACCCCCCACACAATTACTATAAGTTGAGAGAAGGTTTATGCAGACAAAAGAGACCTGACTGGGGAGAATAATATTAAGATTTATTACTAGCAAGATAAAAACTAAAGAACTATATCTACTACAATTCTAATTAAGTGTTATGTATTTACAAAAATACCCTTCCCCCCTTTGTATCAGTTCAGGAGGAGAAGCAGTCTCTTTCTCTCTTTCTGGAGCTCCAGGTCTTTTAAACAACTTTGCAGCACTCTAAAGTTCTTCTTCTATTATCTCTAGGACAACAACTCTGATTCTTCAGAGCTGGAACTGTTTCTTTTTCTCTCTCTCTTCTATGTTGGCCTCAAGGCTGGGCCTACCCCCCTCCCTGGGCTAAGATCAGAGGTTGGGGGGTTACCCAGGCCCTGAACATGTCCCCTTACATGGACTGCAAGGGGACACTTGCCTACCATGCATCTTCACCACAGGGTCACAAGGGATAATGGCTTTTAAGTCCACCCCTGTTTCCTGTGGGGTCCCTTCCCACAGTCCTTGATAGACTTCTCCAATGTAGGTCTATCCATCAGGCAACAGGTTTCCATTCTCTGCTGTCCCTCAGGGTCACAAATTCAGCTGCACTAGCGTGAATCCCTCACTCAGATTCCAACATCTTACCTGAGCCATTCTGCTCCAGTGTAAGTCTCTCTTCATGAGCTTCCTCGTGCATTTGCAAGTTCCTCTTTGAGCTGCAGGGGGCTCTCCTCACCCCAATAATCTTCCACAGGTGGCAGGGTTTTATTTTTCAGTTTTTTCCCTGCTGAAGGGAGAGAGTGAGAGAGGGGGGAGAAGCAGCCCCCACCCCTTCGGACTTCTCTCTCCTGCTGCTGCCAACTTTGACCTTGAAGGCTGTGCTATCTCTCTCTCTCTGGAATTCCTTTTGCAGCATGTCTTGTCCAGGTTCTTCTCTAAAGTTTGTTGGGTCTTTTTTTCTCTACTCTCTTACAGGAGAGAAGAGGGGGTTCAGTGCCACACCTGTCCCCAGCCCAGGGCTGGGGGAGGAGGGGGCCCTGGTCACTTGGGGCCTGCCACTGCTCCTACATGGCTACAGCTAGTAATTTCATCTGCGCCACAACCTTCTCTTCCATTTTCTTAAATATGTAATTGGCAGAGGCTCTACTAAAACTTTTGATTTGCTTTGCTCTGGAAATTCACCTGGAAAAAACTATTTTCAGCCCCAGCCGGGGGGGGAGTTTGGCAAAACCATGACAATTCCCCCCCTTCACCTCTGCGAATTACATTTTTAAGAAATCTTAAACTCTACAATTAACATATAACTATAAATAAACAAAACATAATTAAAATATCTCTACTAAAAATTAAAACAACATCACTAATCTCTAATCTCCAACTTATTTATACTCTGGTTTACGTAAAAATCATATGGAATACTGGGTACATGGCCACTTCCTTGGTTACAAGCTGGTTACCAGGAAGGCCTAGACCAGAACCATCACAATAACATATTTCCTTTAGCTATGTGAATACCACAGATAATTGCAAGGGGGTTTGGCTGTGTAAATACTAGACGTATAAAAACTATGCATATGCAAAAAAAGGTATGGGAGAGGGAGGGAAGAAAGTACAAGTCAAACGTTTATTTTGCAGATATCCTAACTGCATATCAAATTAATTCTTTGGAAGCTGCTTTTTATTATAAAGTAATGGAGAATCCTCTGAAGATATGCATTTCTGAGTATTGCAGCTATAATAAGGAACTGATGGTGGCCTTTGTTTTCTGGAGTGGGCAAGGGTCAAAATCTCAACTCAAAAGTGAGTTAATAAACACTTCATTTACAATTTGCATCTGGTTTACTGTCCTCCTCTCTTATTCTTTCTCTCTCTCTCCCTTCCTATGTACTTTATTAGGAGAGCACTCTGGTTTAGATATAAGCAAAGCTCAGTTCTGATTTGAAAATTAAATGTTAAGGTATCTAGCATGAAGCATATATATATATACAATCTATACTTAAAAAAAAATTATATTTTTACCTTAAAAAGTTAATTTATAGATGTAAATTTTATACTGCAGACATATATAAAGTAGTCTGTTTTCCTTTCATAGGAGTAAGAAATGAAAAGTAAACAATAAGACATAAACAGTTGGCTTTTTTTTTAAGATAGCTGAAAGACCTTTAGCATCATCATTTATGTAATTCCACTAAGTTCAATAGAATTAGACTGATTTAATTTTACAAATAAGTGTACAATTTCTTTCTTGAACTTTTCTAGCAAAACAGGATTCATGCAGATGATTACAAAAGCAGTCACCAATTCTGCTGCTAAGCTTTAATCATACACCACAATTGAGTGTGTTGACTATCAATACTTCTGTTGTCCATATATAGAACTTTTCAACATTAGGCAATTTTTTTAGAGAGGTAAAAAAATTGAGGAATTTTTAAACTGATTGTGTTTAGGACACTGAAAATTATATCTTTCTGAGAGTTTCAGGGGGGAAAAATTACTTTCCATTTTCCCTTAGTGGAAATTATCATAACAGTTCTTAGTAACTTTACTTTCAACTTCTACTTTCCTGTCAGTACTAATCAGAAGCTTTCCCCATTGAAGTCAATGGCAAAACTAATCCCTGTGTAGATTTTACAGTACTTGGAAAAAGTAGTAAGACCCTCAACTCTAGCAAATAGCATCTCTGCTTCTATCACATCATATCTTAACCAGAATCTATGACTATTTTTGCTGAGTCACTCCAAAACTCAGGCAGAAAAGCGTTTTTTAAGTCCAGCTGTGTTAATGGTTTTGGTTTAAGTTCACACAGACTTGAAAACAATTATGTAGAATCTCTGTTTTTACATGCAATAGCCAATACTTCATCCTGCTTTGGGTGGGAAATGCAAAATTACCTTCTACACATTTTGGGGTGTGATAAGAAACAGTGGGCTTTGAAGGTATCATTACAGAGACTGTGGAAAAATTTTGGTAAAATTTTTGCTTACTGTGAATGTCTCGATTTCCCAGCCTCCCTCCAAGCTGTTATAAAAACCAAAGAGAGTTAAAAATGTTCTCTCAAGAAGAGAGACACTCCATAGATTTGTGATAGTAACCTGGCAATTTCTGCTGCAGAGGAAGATGTTGCTCATGGTTAGGTATTTTAATTCAGCAGCTTTAAGTTTCGAGAATCTATTTAACCAATAAATGTTACTTTTGAGAAAGCTATTGTTTCTTGTTTAGAGATGGTGCTTCCAGAGTGAGAACTTCAAAAAAAAAAAAAAAAAAACCACACCAAAACCCCAAAACCAAAAAACTCCATGCTGGAGTAGTACTATGCAAATTCTTTGATTAGAGGGTATCAGTACACACAAATGACATAAAGACTGCTTTCTACAGGCAACTGGAATCTTGCCACTGACTTCAATAGGTTCATATCAGGTCAAATAGGGAGGCTGGTTTTGCTTACTCTATTTCATCTGCTGCCAGAACTTCCTGCCTTAGAGCTTTGTTCTGTTTACTGAAATGGCTGCACATCACTGAAAGCAGTTCTTTAAACTTCAAATACTGTGTCTTGTAATTTATGGGTGCCTTTGGTAAATAAGCTTGTTAATATGCTTTGCAATAGAGTTTTTGCTGGAAATGATGGTGCTTGATAAAGATCTTAGCGTCTAAATGCCCGAGTCTTCACAAGCTTTTTGGTTTTTAATGTCTATGCAGAGTGCATACAAAAATGCAGCAGAGCCAAAATAATGACTGGCTCTCTGCTGACGCCAGTTTTAACCCTATAGTGAGGTAAACAACTATGCAATCCCACCAGCCATGCCCCTCGCACAAGAATTGATAACACAGACACCATGCCAGTTCTTTAAAGTATGTATGCACATTCCTGGGTTTATGATCTATTCATTTGTTCTAGTTCCTTTGTGCTGCAGGTGTTGGGAATGGGAGTGGGAATATAGTCCAGTGTTTTGGTTTTCTGTTATGCTGATCTATTTTTATTTGTCTTTATAATATAAATGTATAAAAAGAGGCTAAGCGAGGATAAGAGAAGTCCTGAAAGAAAAATATTATACATGTGGCATATCAGGAAAATGGATTTTGATTTGCATGCCTTCAATAGGAGATAAATTTGATTATTTTACTGTGTTAACCTAAATCAGAAGTCAGTTCTCTGAAGTTAAAATTATAACCCTGTAAAAGAGCTGACAAGAATAATCACAGAATTGGTAACTGTGCTCTTGGTCTCCTCTCAGGTACACAAATGGAATCCCTTTTGGATACCACTGGTCTAATAGAACAAAGCCCAACACACTATGGGTAGCTGAAAATACAGTTTTCTTAGCAGGAATATATCATATAAAATTATCTTCAGCACTATTTATTATAGCACACTGCTGACATCTACTGATACATTGACCCAGTCTTAGAGTAGAATTGAAAGGAAACTAAGTATTTCAAAGAAAGAAAAACAGAAAATTCACAGATATTCTAATTTTTCTTTTCCTTTGGGTGTTTCCTTACAGGTTGTAATCACATGCTTGCAAGTATTAAGTCCCTAAAGATAGTTAAGAAGACTGGAGATAAGCATGGCTCTTGGATGAAAGATCCTGGCAAAAAGCATACAAAAATTTATTTATTAAATGGTTCTGTAAATAATGTTATTTTGGAATTTGCAAATATAATGACATTCATGGAAAACAATCAGACACTAAGTGCTCGCAGAGTCACATTGCCATTTCCCTGGGAAGGAACTGGCCACGTCATATATCAGGGTTTCCTGTTTTATCATAGATATGGCTCCTTAAATGAGATTACTAAATTCAATATACAGAGCAGAAAAGTAGCTGACCAAATGCTACTGCCAGGGGCTGGAAGGATTCCTGCCTATCAGCTTTCCCCACATACAAAAATAGATCTTGCCATTGATGAGCAAGGGCTCTGGGCAATTCATGCAGAGCCAGAGACTGGAGGAAACATTGTCATTACTAAAATCAACCACATAACCATGGCAGTGGAGCACACCTGGGATACACCCTGCAGCAGCAAGGACGCTGAAGCAGCTTTCATGGCATGCAACACACTCTACGTTGTCTACAACTCTCCTAGTAGAGGCACCTCTCGCATACGATGTGTTTATGATGTTTTGGATGTTGTAAATAGCTATGAAATCCCAGCATTGCATTTCCCAAAACGTCAGGGGAGCCATTCCACTATACATTACAATCCTAAAGAAAAGCAGCTCTTCGCCTGGGGTGATGGATCTCAGATCATTTACAAGCTTCACACACAGCAGAAAGTTTAGAATCTTTAGCAACTTTTCAAATAGACTTAAAAGCTGCCAGTCCCATGTCAACATGACCATTAATGCGAATTAAAATTACATTATACCCATCTGTTACAACTTTCACTTATTTCACATAAATTTAGGCTTACATACCCCAGCGATCATAGACTAATGTCCAATGATGAATATGTAAAGTCTCCACTATTATATGATGACTAAATGCTACAGATGGACAACCCATACACACACGCAAGTCCTAAAGTCTGAGATTATTTAAAAGGAATAACAATCCATCTCTGACATGTTCTCTTCCTCTCAAAACTATGTATTCTGCTTCAGTGCTACGGAAATCAAATCAGAAGTCCTTCCTGTCCAGTACACACTATCTGACAATCTCCACTACTCTGAAGGTCAGTTTGGAAAACCTTCTGGTAAGCAATATAAAATCACATGCTTCCAGAGAAATTATCTGTAAGTTTTAACAGGAGAGGTTTATCACATCACAAAGTATAAGAGTAGAGACCCTTACAAGCATGGTTTATATTTAAAATATAACTCTTGTGCATCACATTGAGGCTATTTCTAATCATTGCACTTTTAGGATATTTCCATGAAATTCCCACCTTTTTCTTATCCATATAGCTGTACAGTCTACTTTTGAACCTGACCATACATTAGCTGCAGCTAAATATTCACTTCTATCAGCTTCAAGTTGCATCTTTTCAACATTTTTTAGAGTATTTTTTAGATTGTGCATTGGAAGGAATGTTCCTAGATTATCCGTTCTGTATCAAACACTGTTTTTTTAAATGTTCTACACGTCACTCTTTGTTTCCTTTCTCATTAGTCCTCTTACAGTATCTAGTTGAGAGGCATTTCCCAATGCTTCAAATCACTTCCACTGGTTGTAGCAGAATCTTTCTCATCCTATCCTCCAACTCCAGGAAAATATCTGTTCGTAAAGGTGGTCCTGATAAGCACAGTGGTGCAAGAGCGGGCATGTCACTGCTCAGTTCTGTGTTTGTGAGTAACAGATAAACTCCAGGTAAATACAAACACATTCTTGTTTCAAAAACCAAACTGACTTTTAGTGTGAAATACAGGTACTGGCTACAGTTTTGAGTTGTTGGGATTTTTTAAAAGTTTTAATGGTAGCTGTGTTTCTGTTTAATAACAAACAAGAAAAAAAAAAAAAAAAAAAAAAACAAAAACACACAAAGGAAAACTAAACACAACAAAAAAAAGCCTCCCACAAAAAACCACCAAAAAATGGTGCTTGAATAGCAATCCACAGCTGTTTCTACAGAAAGCCCATTTTGTTCTTTACACTGAAAGAGCTGTTGTCCTGCTTAAAAATAGCCTCAACAGAACAACCAAACATCAGAGAATGATTTTGAAAAGGACTTCCAGAATTCAACTGAGTGTGTAGACTCCTGAGCTGCAATAGTGATACTCTGCATTTAGAAAAAAAAGGCTATAACATTCTAAGCAGCCTTAATGACTAGAGCATTACTTCTGTTTTACAGAAGCCATAGGAAAGCATAGTTAAAGACATCTCAGGCTGAAAGTAAGGTGGGTTGGCACTGGTTTCCTGTGTGACCATAGGATAAAGGCAGGCTTGACTATTTGGCCTTTTATTCCTTATCTGTAAAATTACAAACACCTAAATACAAAATGGTATTAGCCACCTTGGGAAGGCTTTGAGATCTTTTACTGTAAAAAGATGTATAATTTTCTTTATTTAAGAAATAAAAGCTTTTGATGCAAACATGGATTGAATCTGCTCTTTAGAAAAGGTATTCTTGGGATGTGCTATCTGCCACATTATTACACAACAGAGAAAGCCTATGATACTCTTCTAGGTAGAGCTTTCAATTAGCAATCCTCAAAAGTCCAAGTAGGATCTTCTCTGAACCTTGCTGTGATACCTTGGAGTTCTGATGTTTCGTTTTTTTTAATTTTTGTAGATCTTAGAAGTAGTTACGTAGTAAATGTAGATTTTAGAATAGCAGCATATTATCCTTTACCCTTTAACACACCAGCTCAAACCCCTGTTACCCATTCCCATATCAATTCCCTAAATTCCACAGCTTGTTTAGTCTCTTTTTCAAGGTAGAATTGTAGAAGAACACCCTAACCCTACGGAATAAGATACAGCCATAGACGCAACAACCTTCAAGCCCAGAATTCTGGAAGGCCTCCAAGGACATTACGTGCTCTGAGGAAGATGAAGATGAAGAAAAGGGGGTCCCAAAATGCCCCTAGACCCAATTTCCAAGAGGCATGGCGGGGGTAGAACCTGGGTGGTGGCTGGACGGGGATTGGGTGAAAATCATTATAAAAACTGTGGACATCTCTATTTCAGGGGCATGCACATTGGGGTATTCCAGAAAGCCTGGGGGCTCATTAAAGCCTTTGTATCCTTATCTTATCTCCTACCTAATTTGGCTTGGAGTCTTTTTTTCCCCACAGCCATTTTAGGCAACACTGCCCTGGAAATCCAAGCTTCATAATAAATTTAAAGCACCCTGGGCCTGACAGTGGCCAAGAGGGGGTGAAGCACCCAGACTTCCCACCCACAGGAGAGGGAGACACAGCCACCTTGAACAAGAATTGTTCATTGCCAAGCACTGTGTAGGCCCTTCTTCTGCATCACCTGGTCCTGTCCCTGAAGTGTGAGGAGATTCCATCTCCTCTGCATGGAGCCCCAAGGAAGAGGGGAGGAGAGCAGTTGTGCCAGCACCACACAAGGAATCTGTTGCAGGCCATTGAAGGAGTTTCTTGGGACCTGGAGGTGGGAGAGGTTCTTTTCAATCTGAGGCTCACTCTGGTTGTATTTTATAGTTTTAAGGATGAACTTTCACACTGCTTTTGTTTTTCTTAATCCCCATGGATATTTTTAGTGTTATTCTCTAACACTAAGTATGATCCAATCTCTGCACTCATCTGCGAGTTTCCACCATGAGCGTTTCACCACAACTATGGTAAAGATAAAAAACAACTTATAACGCTTCAGTCTTGCTCACACTCTTCCTGAAGCACAACATAGATCAGGCTACTGGTCCTGCAGCATGAAATACGCTGGGAAACTGGCTGTGGATTGGGGTAGCATATGAATTTTGTGGACTGGAGTGACAACAGTATCTTAGGCTTTACAGCAGCAATGACACAACTTTTTGGTAATCTCATAAATATGTATGATCTGATTAATTTTCATAACTGATAGAACACAAGCAGATATTTTTGAGGAAGTCAGAAGAGGCATTTGATTAACTCCCGAATGAAAAAGGGCAAAAATAAGGACTGCCTGTTCAGAAATGGAAAGGAAACAATCAGGAATATCTGAACTGAATAATCTGCTCCAGCATAGGAGTCACCAAAAAGCAAGGACAAAGCAATGTTGGCAAGGCAGTAGTAAGCCGTGACAAAACTGCATGAAAGAGGGCATTGACTCCCAGTTCAGGTAGACGATACGATCATTACCATGGGAATGAAATTGGTACAAGGAGATGAACACAGAGAAGTCTTCATCAGGAACAAAAAACACAAATGAGTTTATGACCTCTACCTTCACCATCTAGATAACATCCATTACTGCTCTTGTCTCGTCACGCTGCACCTTCTCCATGTGCTTGTTTCATCTGAACCACTGGCTTTTTGCTTTTTCAGAGCTGCATTTTCATGTTCAGACTCGAAAGACAGGTGCTCTTGTGATGGCTCTTTTGCTTTACTGCAGCTCTCAGGGTAGAATCCAGTGCTCCCCGCTATGACAGCAGTAGCATTATCCTCCTAACGACAGCAGCACTCCTCGATGCTGCAATAAAGGTCCCTCACCTCTTCACTGATACCACAGTTACCCTGTCCTTTCCTGCATTAAATCCTGACTGACTCTTCTGCAGAAAGCTGGCTCACGGCAGGATAATCTACAAGGATTATGTCCTGTTTGCACTTGAAATAATCAGAATTATCACAGAAAGATTTTCAGCCTTCTCTGATTTATTGACACCTTTGTGATGAATTTAAGCTTTCTGAACAGTATGCTTGCTTACTTTTTTGTGGATGCCAAGGATCTGAGGACTGTACATTAAAAGCAATTTGCCAGTACAGCATAACTTGATGCTGGGAGCATGGTGTAAATTATGTCAGTATAACTGGGTTTATTTTCACAGTGCCCAGAGATAGGCTTGTTTCTCAGAAAATATTCTTCCTTTCTCTTTTTCTTCTTCTTTTCTATCTGCCTGGATGTAGAGAATGTGAGCCTGTTTTAGTATTCATGGAAGCAGACACTATATAAGAAAAATCCACACTACATGTTTATTATAGATGGGTTTACCATGAAGCAATGCAAATATTACATGCCTACTGTCATCCTACTCTGTAACAGTGCATTTTTTTTTCCCCACGTGATGTTTCCCACCCCTTGTGTCAGGGTAACCAGTCAGAGGACACAGCTGCAGAGATGTGCATGGAAGCTTAGCAAAGAAATTGCAGAACCAAAACCATTAAGATATGGCTCTCCTAATACTAAAGAAATAGCTCCTCCTGAAGGCAAAAATCCAAACCTGTGACTTTTTAAGTTATTTGAACTTTTCATGGTTTTGGATTGCAAATAAGAAAATAACATTTTATTATACTTTCAACATATTGAGCCCTAAGCCCAGAAAAAAAAAGAACATACAGAACCACAGAGTAAATTAAGTTGGAGAAGACCTCTGAAATCATCGAGTCCAACCTTTGAGTGAACACTACCTTGTCAACTAGACCATGGCACTAGGTGCCACATCCAGTTTTTCCTTAAACATCTTCAGGGGTGGCAACTCCACCACTTCCCTGAGCATCCCATTCCGATGCTTGACAACCCTTTCTGTGAAGAAATTCCCCCTGATGTCCAGCCTTAACCTCCCCTGGTGCAGCTTAAGACTATGTCCTCTCATCTTGTCAGTGACTGCCTGAGAGAAGAGGCCAACCCCCACCTGGCTACACTCTCCTTTCAGGAAGTTGTGGAGAGCAATAGGGTCACCCCTGGGTCTCCTTTCCTCCAGGCTAAACACCCCCAGCTCCCTCAGCTGCTCCTCATAGGACTTACCTTCCAGACCCTTCACCAGCTCCATTGCTCTTCTCTGGACTCACTCCAGCACCTCAGTGTCCTTCTTTAACTGAAGGGCTCAGAATTGGACATGGGACACAGGGTGTGGCCTTGCCAGTGGCAAGTACAGAAGGACAATCACTTCCCTGGTCCTGCTGGACATGCTGTTTCTGATACAAGCCATGTGCCACTGGCGTTCTTGGTCACCTGGGCACACTGCTGGCTCACGTTCAGCAGCTGTCAAGCAGCACCTCTGGGTCCTTTTTCATCAGACAACTTTCCAGCCACTCATCCTCAAGCCTGTAGCACTGCCTGACCCAAGTGCTGGAACTGGCACATTTCCTTAGTGACCTTTTCTATTAAACATGCCATAAGCTCTGTGACATCATTACTGCAACTACACAGGACATTTAGAAAAACAAAATATTGCTAGCAGTTGATGATATTTTAAGGGATAAGCCAAAATAACTGACTATGCACAAGAATTACCAAATCACATAGGCAGTTTCCCTAAGAAACAAGATCCATATCTCTCACCATCGGTTACAGTAAAACATGTATTAAAAAGGCAACAGTGAAGTTTTTTCATTTTGTTCATATCTTGTAAGTATAAAAATTTTCTCTTGTGATTGAAACTAACAGTTAATTTCAAATAAAAAATCTGGTACTCACGTGAAAATAAGGTCATCTGGAGGTTTTACACAAAACATAAAGGGGATGTGCACACATGCCCATTATGGCAGGATTCTCAGTATTAGGCTTAATTTATGACTCTGTCAACATTTTCCAGGGAGCTGAGATCTCTCTTAATGTAAGAAAGATGAGTTTGAGCTCCACGTTCAGAGCGCCATTTATTGCGGGTGGGGTTCAGTCCCGCAACAGACCCAGCGGCACATCTTGTATGGGAGACAGGACACACACACACACAAGTGTATGTGACCCACAAAATGGCGTTTATTAAAGCAAGAAGACAGTTTATATACAGGGGGATACAGAAGGTTCAGGAATAGAGGGGGGTTTCTTGCTGGGGAACCTCGAATCCCAAGAGCCAGTGATAAGTGAACTTGGAGGGATAGGCTGCATAGAATATGTCTGGTCACGCCAGGGGAAGGGAGAGCTTAGGGAAGAACGGAAGGATTGTCCTGGGGGCAGAGACATGGGAATCTGCAAAAGCTGCAAGGCTGCGGCCTGGTAGCTGGGTCCCAAGCAGTTCTGCGCAGCTGCAGTTACTAGGAGACTTCGATAGAGATCTCTTCTTCTGAGCCTTCTTTGTAGTTCTTTTGCATCTCTCTCCACTCTCTGTAGGCCTCTTCTGGTCCACCCCCGACATTTCCCCCTTCTCTGTTTTGCAAGACTGGAAAAGCTTGGGAAAAACTTTTAGTCATGGATTTTTTAACACAAAAAATTAGACAGGGAAGGAAGACAAGGATGGAGAAAGTGATAATTAGAAACAAAATGATTCCTTTAACAACCTTGTTGGCCCAATCAGAAAGGGAAGGAAAGGGAAGCCAGCTAAAGAGACCTGAAAAACCTTTGTCTTGGTTTATGGTAATGTCATTAACCAGTTGTTTTAGAGTGTTGATGCTTTGGAACACACTCTCAGAGTGGTCTGAGAAGTTCAGACAACACAGCCCTTCAAATTCTTGGCAACCATGGCTGTGGGCAAGAAGTAAGAAGTCAATGGCTGCTCTATTTTGGAGAGTAGCTTCTTTGATTTTCAGGGTGTCTGCTAGCAGGCTCCCAATGGTGAGGGAAGTGGCATTGGCTTCGCTGGCCATCCAGCAGGCCATGTGGGCTAGAGTGGAGAGGGCTTTGGCTGCACCAATGCTGGCGAGTGGAAAACTACCCCAGAATCTCTGAGTATGGGACCAAGTTTGAAATTTGGGGTCACAGTCTGGTGGAACATGGATGTTTAATTTATCCTCCTTGGCTGGATTGTTTTGAGGGACTTTGCGTGCCCGTGGTTTAGAATCAGGCGCGACTGGGAGTGGTTTAGATTTGGTGCGCATTAAAATGTAGGATCTTTTGTTTCGAATGAGTTTGGGTCTGTCAGAAATTTGGTTCCTGATTATTTGCAATTTAGCTGGGTTGTACAGAGTAAGTTTTCCAATGGTACATGGCCCTCCCACTGGATTTTTCGGGATGCCTTGCCACGTTCTATCGCCACAGATAAGAAAGTAGGCGGAAGGCAGTTTTGTGGGTCTAGAGAAATGTTCAGTGGGAAGAGGGTAAGGTTGGGAGTAATTGTACCATGCGGTGGTGTTAGTATAGATGGAAGAATTGGGGGATATGTTAGGTTCTAGGGCAAGGCGATTAGTAGTGGGTGTGAACCTAAAGCAAGTGGCAGCTACAGATGAACCTAAAAGATCTAATTCTTGGGGATCTGTATCTAGGGTACCTAAATGTAGGAGGGTTTGGGAAATAGTGTCTGGGGAAGGAAGGAGATTATCTACGAGGGAAGTGTTTTGGATAAACCTGTTCCACTCAGGTATACCCACGAGACAGCTTTTAAAAGGATGACTCACACTGTCGAGGGAAAGGCACATTGTGTCTGTGTTGGTGGCTTTGGCTAGAGTAATCCTCCTCCCTTGGCTCGGATGGGCTCCCCCTCTCTGGTGAAAATGGAGCGGCAGTAGCGTGCCCAGTGATACCCCTTCTTGCATATGGGACATAGGGTCCTAGGTAACTTGGGGCTAGGATCTGGGTTAGGGCAGTCTCGTGTAAAGTGTCCTGCCTGCTGGCATTTGTGGCACACACTATTAGCTCTGTGTGCTTCCATGATTGCTTCTGTGATGGCTTGTACTCTGACTGGTTCTGCTTCAATCAATGCATCTGCTATTATTTTGCTTTCATATTTGCTTGAGCCAATGTCCTTACAGGCTTGTATCATGGACATGGGTGTGGGGTTCACCAAGGAGCGGAGAACAGGCTGACAATCTCGGTTAGCCTGTTCTATAGCTAATCGGATAAACAGGGCATCTTGGGCCTCTAAAGGTTTCACTTGCCGAGCTATTGCTTCCCTCAGCCTGGTGGCAAAGTCATAAAAGGGTTCTTTAAGGCCTTGCTGTATGTGTGCAAACGAAGGAGAAGTGGTGGTGGCCTCTGCCACAGTTTTGATGGCTTCTAATCCAGGCTTTTCGTTTTATCTAGCCTGCCGAAGGGTATCCTTGCCTGCATTCTGCTGGAGGAGTAGGGACCCTCCCCATACAATTCATTAAGTAAATCTTCCACAGGCACTCGCAGTGCATGGTGTGAGTTCTCAGCATATTGCCTTATGAGTTTTTTCCACTCTTGTTCAAAGAGGGAATACTGCATTAGGTTTAAAATCCCCTTTGTAATTACCCATATATCAGTTGGTGTCAGGGTGTATGCTGCAAATAAGGAATCTAGCATTCCAGAAACAAAAGGAGAGTTTAAACCATAGTCTGTAACCGCTTTTTTCGCGTCCCGTAGGATGGGGTATGGGACCGGTTCCCATTCGGGGTCCCGATTGCTTTCTCGGAAAACCGGGAAAACTTTCAGCAATTCCAAGTCCCCTGCATCTTCTGCCTGCTTTCTCGGACCCTGCCACTTATTGCTTGCGGTAGGGGAGTCACAGCCTGTGTTGCTACCGGCTGGAGTGTCTGTTGTTGCAGGGTTTCTACTCGCGGCACGGGATCCATGGGCGCAGTCAGAGAAACGCAGGCTCCGGCTCCTCCCCCCGGGGCGGGCGCTGCGTGGTCTTGGGGAAAGAGGGGGCGTGGAGTCAGGGCTAGAGTCACTTTGTGTGCTGACATCATCCCGGGGTGGGGGCGTGTCTAGCTGTTTCACGCGCTTTAGGGGGTGGGGGGTGGCTCTCAGCGCCATCTTGTGAGGACGGTGGGCGGGGTTTGGTAGTTTTTTCGGGCTTTTTGGACGGAAGAGTCGAGCTTTCGTCGTTACTTTTGGCATGTCTCTGGTTTTTCAAATGTGGAAGGATGGCACGCCACGACATGAGAGCGAGACCTGCATTTTTATCACCCTGTTCAAAGGCATGTCCCAGCGTGTCTCCTAGCTTGTACCACCGCCGATAGGTTAATAAATCTGGGGAAATGAGCTTGTTCTTGGAAAGCCATTTCGTTAAAGCTTTGAGGGACTTTTTATCTGTGGGGTGACCCTCAAAGAGTAGTATGGCTTTAATGCGTTTATAAAACTGCTTTTCTGAGTTGGAAAGTGTGTTGCCCATATTGAAAGTAAAAGAAAAGGATTCTGGGATCACTCACAGGCTATCTTCAGCGAGGCGGTCCTCCAAACGCAGTCTGACGCTGGAGCGGGCTGCGACTACGATTCCCAGCGGCGTGTGCGGCGGCGGGGGGATCGCGGGAACCTGGGCGGTTCCGCTGAGGCACTGCTGGGGTCCCGGCGCGGAGGGGGCTTGGCGCTGGTTCCCGGCGCGGCGCGACTCCGCGGCGGCTCGGCGTGGCGGTGCCGTCCGAAGCAGCGGCTGCCCGGGCGGCAGGGAGGGGCAGCTGCGCTGCTCGGGTGGCGGCGGCGCGCGGTCCCGGTTCCTCTCGCTCGGCGCGGGTTGTCCCAGCACCGGGGTCTCACGCAGCTGGTTTCTCGCAGTAACAGCGGCTGAAAACTGAGTGGGCAAAGCCCCCTGGTAGCTTCTGTGAGTGGGATCTTTGGGATAGACCGGACTCCGGAAATCCAAGTCTATCAGTAGCTCACGGGAGCTGAGATCTCTCTTAATGTAAGAAAGATGAGTTCGAGCTCCACGTTCAGAGCGCCATTTATTGCGGGTGGGGTTCGGTCCCGCGACAGACCCAGCGGCACATCTTGTATGGGAGACAGGACACACACACACACAAGTGTATGTGACCCACAAAATGGCGTTTATTAAAGCAAGAAGACAGTTTATATACAGGGGGATACAGAAGGTTCAGGAATAGAGGGGGGTTTCTTGCTGGGGAACCTTGAATCCCGAGAGCCAGTGATAAGTGAACTTGGAGGGATAGGCTGCATAGAATATGTCTGGTCACGCCAGGGGAAGGGAGAGCTTAGGGAAGAATGGAAGGATTGTCCTGGGGGCAGAGACATGGGAATCTGCAAAAGCTGCAAGGCTGCGGCCTGGTAGCTGGGTCCCAAGCAGTTCTGCGCAGCTGCAGTTACTAAGAGACTTCGATAGAGATCTCTTCTTCTGAGCCTTCTTTGTAGTTCTTTTGCATCTCTCTCCACTCTCTGTAGGCCTCTTCTGGTCCACCCCCGACATGTATTGGTGATATCTGGGTGTTACTCAGTTTTTCCTGCTATTCACACGCAGCATAAACCATGGGTTTAATTTGTCTTGAAATTTATTATTGAAAAATATTTCAAAAAGGTTGTTGTTTGAAACCCCTTTTAAAATAATTTGGAAAAGGTTAGTGCTAAAAAGAAAAATATCTGAAATGTTTCCTATGTAAGTGCCATATTTATTACAGATAACTATCTGCCTTTTTATTTTGAGCTGACTTCTCAGTGGGACTGACCTCATGCAGTGAGTCAGTGTCCACTCTGTGATTACAAGACTGAGGCTTTTCTTTCTGCTCTTTGAACTGTTTCTTAAGAGTAGAGGAACAAAGGAAAAAATATGTGTAGAAAATGTTTTGTTATTTGATAGACCTCTAGGAGTATCTCAAAAAGTAAGTACTTCTAAAATGGCTAATTTTAGAGAGTTCCAAGTAGCCTGTCACCTGGTTTTCTATTTCCCAATAATGTCTTCATCCAACTGATAACAGTCTGAAAGATCCAGCATTTGGGAGCAGCAGTAGATATACCCACTTTAGAATATGTTGAACCTGTAAATGAAAATACACCTTTGTTTCTGACTAAGTTACTTAAACTTCTAGAAGTAGAAAATGTGTTACATGAATGTTTCTGTCCCAATAAAATGAAAAAGCAGTTTAGTTCAGGTTGGTTTTTTATTCCCAGAGCAAATATATTCTAAATCATCACTTTGCTTTTCTAAAATAAGCCACTTGTATACAACAGAATTTGAGGATGTTATGGTCTAGATTTCCTTTAAATTAGATGGGAAGCAGAAAATATCAAAATTGACAAAAAAAGTCTTGAGAGTCAGTCATGTTTTTTTCATAATGCCTGTAATAAGTTATGTTTGTTTGTACACAGGACCCTCTTGACCTGTTTGGATTAGTCAGATATCTTATTTCTGTTGAGACCTATATGGAGGTTTAGAAAAACCTGCAAGAAAGTGCTTTCACAAAGTAAATTTTTAAAAACAAATCTTCGGCATTTTGGAATAAACACATTTATTCACCAGTATGTGCAACAACCAGCTTTTGCATTTTCATTATTTACTTTGTGCATGCTGCAGGGGTTCCAGTGGTTGTCATAAAGAATATTGTACAGAAATATTGAACTTAATTTGTTTGAAGTAACTGTGGTTTTCCCTACACAAAGTAACACCTACATGGAGTACAGAGGTTATTTAACATAAGGAGTTTCCAATACTGTTTTAACTGTATTTTTACCTTAACCAATAATATGGTTTCCAAACAAAACCATGGCCATAGAAAGCGGCACTATCAATCCTAACTTCACTAGATCTGTAGTCATTTTTAGCCTGTAAGTTTTCACAAACTGTGAGCTCAAAGACTTGGAATTGCTACATTCTGAGGTACACTCCTCTTACTCACTTTCATCAAGAGGACACTGAGATCTCTAACGAACACAGGCCAAGACAGGCCCAGTTGTTTGCTGCCTTGGGTCCCTACTATCTAAGCATTATATCCAGTTCCTGCTAGCTCAGTGCTGTTTTCTATGTGCTAAACCAACTCTTTCCAAGTCTAGGTGTCATTAAAGACTCAATTTTTGGCCTACCCATTTCTAACAAAATTCATCTGAAAAATGGTCAGAAAAAAATAGAATAAAATTCAGTAAGAACAAGAGAAAAGACTATACTTAGGCAGGAATGATTTTCACAATTGCAAAAAGAACCCCAAGCTTCAAATAGGTAAAAAGCTATTGCAAAGCAGAAGAGAAGCATCTGTCCCCCTTATCACTGATGGACAGAAATAATTCAAACTGCAGTCAGGTTAGTCACAAAGTTCTCTGACTACAAGGTTACTGAGCCTTGGCACAGACCTTTTCATCTCAGAAATTTTCAGTGACAGGAGACTTGCAATATCCACTGTCAGGAACAATACTGGTTTGAGCAACCTTGAATTTTGGCAGGTTACAGGAGCAGTTACCTGCAGAAAGACGGAGTGGTCTCCAGGGCACTATCTAAGCCATCCTGGCAAGTAAACTGAGAAAAATGAACATGTTGTCAGATGTCTATTTTTTCTCTAGGAATCAGTGCCCCTCCTGAAAACTAATGAAGCTCTAAAGCTGACAAAAATCACTTGAATAGACCAACTTTTCTGTATTTGCACATGGGACACTCAGTCTGTGCGGTCTGATGTTGCATTCATTTGATATGAAATATGATTGGCGATAGCTGAAAAATAGATAATTTTATTATCCTTACCTGGGTTCTCTTGTCCCATATTTGTGATATGTGAGGTTAGAAACAGTATTTTAATTTGGATGTCCAAGTAAAGATCATTTAAATAGAGGACTGGTGTACCTGATTGTTCTGTGACTTCAAAGTTAATCATAATTTTCTTAATTAGCTGGAAAAGGAAAGAATCAAAGATGTGAACACTAGTTGCTAATGCAATGAATTAGATCCTAAACTTCTTACACATTTATCTGTTATCCAAATACTATTTTATAACTAATCATCTTACAGTATTTTTGGAAGCAGCACTGATCTTGTATTTTGTTCTTTGTTTTTTCTGATCCCATGTAATACCTGTAAATTTCTGTAATCATTTAACAAACATCCAGAAAGAATTAAGGGCTTTGGGGAGTTTTTAAATATAGGTATTTTGTCAGACTATTTAGTTTAAACAACAAGTATGACCAATTATTTTTTCTTTTAAAGGTCCAGTCTTATACTGCTTGCATTATTACTGTCCATTTAATTGAGGATCAGAAGATAGAAACATAATTTCCTGTGTACATACTCAATTTAAAATCAATACTGTACCATACAGAGGGATTGCTCTCCCTGTAAGAACTGCAAAGATTTACTTTGGCTTTATGCTCACACTGTATTTTTCCAAAAGCAATTTTAATGTGTCTGCAAGATGCATCCTGCTTTAATGCCAGCTTTCCAGTGCCACATGTACAGTTGGAAAAAGCAGCTTTGACAAAAAAGATTCAAAACCTGGTTTAACCCTTAGCTCTTCTTTATGCAGAAGCAAAAAAAAAGGGGAACCATCTGAAATCAAGTATTTCAGTCCCAGAGGCAATCACCTCTGAAGTCTGTGCAGAACTTGTATCAACATGGAAAATCTTATTTATTCTATCAGTGTCAAAAAAAAAAAAAAAAATCAGTAATCTTTCTGGCAAAAGCAATTTTGCTGAATGCTATGAATTGTTTGTCTGCTCCCCTATTTTGGAAGCTAGTGAGTACATCCAGAAAAAATGCATTTCCTATTCAATTTTTTGGCCATAAAATGCAAACATAAACTTGCAGGATTAATAACAGCAGTAAAGTCAAAATGTACTGTTTTAAGTTTATAGAACTTGCATGTAGACAAACTGGAAAAAACCTCCAGCCTACTCTGAATCCTTTTTTTTCACCCCATAGTATTGGTATCATAAGAAAAATAACATATTCCCATTCTTGCTGCACATTTGGTAGCACTACATTTCTAATCAGTCTTAGCAAAAAATAATTTCTTACTAAATTTCAAAGAAATATCATGAATTACCCAACCATTGTATGATATAGAATCGTAGAATCATTGAAGTTGGAAGAGACCTCCAAGATCAGGTCCAATCTTTAACTGAACACCACGAAGTCAACTAAAACATAGCACTAAGTGCCACATCTACTTGTTTTTTGAACACCTCCACGGATGGTGACTCCACAACTTCCTTGGACAGCCTATTCCAATGCTTAACGACCCTTTAGGTGAGGAAATTTTTCCAGTATCCAAACTGAACCTCCCCTGGTGCAGCTTGAGGCCATTGCCCCTTGTCCTATTGATAGATGCCTGGTAGAGAGTTGTAGAGGTGTCTCTGAGCATCCTCTTCTCCAGGCTAAACAACCCTAGCTGCCTCAGCTGCTCCTCATTTTGGTCCAGACCCTTCACCATCTACAGACACTCTACAGCCTCCTCTACAGACACTCTCCAGCACCTCTTTCTCATAGTGAGTAGCCCAGAACTTTAAATATATACTTTGAATAAATCTTTATTTCTTAAAAAATTTTTACTGAGAGCAATGTTTGTTTTACTAACCACTAGGTATGAAGGATGTACATTTATTTTTCTATGTAAGAAATTCAAAATATGTTGGCAACACTCAGAAACTTGCATGTTTATGTTTTGACATGCACAAGTGCGTGTACATAAGCAGGAAAAAATAAAGGTGCACAAGTGTACAAAAACAAAACAATCCACATGAGCCATTATAGTTTTCCATGTGAAATCAAAACCCTACAACCTTGTATCCTGAGCTTATTTCATAACAGTTCAGGTCTGGATGCAGAAAGCCACTATCTCAAGCTACAATAATAACAGAAATACAGCCATTATCATACCAACAGGTTTTTGATACTGGGGTGCTTCTTTTGACATAAATTTATATTTAGGAAAACAATGAGGACCATGGTGATTATAAATATGCAAAAAAAAAAACCTAGTTCCATATCAAGATAGAGCACTTTTGCTAAAACAAATATCAGAGCCACAATAAAGATGACTGACCATAGTTATTTCCTGTTCAGAGAGGATTTTTTGGGAGACAGAATCTCCTAACTATTTATTAACATAACAAGTCAAAAACAGTTCACATTAAGAAGATACAGAGAATAAAATAGTGTTATGATAACACACAGTAACATATACATATTAAATTAAAGTTTGAATCTGTATAACAAAATTAAACCACAAATTACCTGAAATAGTTAGCTAACTCTCTAAGTGTCAAAATTCACAGTGTTCATAAACAACTTCTTCTATGACTAATTCTCTTTTTATTTGAACTAACAGAAATAACAGTAAGACACAGAAGGAAAGTTTTAGTTTTCAAACAGAGACAAGTTCATTTAGAGGCTTATCTCACTGCAATCAGTGTGAAATCATAACAGGATTCTGAGGTCATTGGCAGGTTTTCTCAGAGCAACCAAAACTCCTGCAGCTGTGGCACTGTGATCAA